TTTACTTGAAAGTTTCTGCAGATCTTTGTGGGTTTTTTTATTTTTTGGTCATTTTCTTGTTTTCTTATACAGGCAGTGACTACCTTATAAACATGGGCGTCAGAACCACTTTAAAAGTGGGGGGACACTGTTGGGGGGTCGGAGGTCCTCCCCCAGGAAATTTTAAATGGAATAGATGCCATTTCCTGCATTCTGGTGTATTTCAACAGGTTATTTAACCTAATTTTCCCTACATAAATAAACACTTGATTTAAAAATGTTTTAAAGAGACAGATTATTCATTAAACTAGTTCCATCATCCTGGTTTTAAACTCACTGCTACAGCTGATATAAAATTAATTAATGTGATACAATTTATCATATCCAATGACTTTAGGGGCGCTTTTCACTTTTATATTGTTTATTGACTTATTTTCAGTTGTAACACATGTCATTGTGCCAAATAAGGATGATCCTCAGCTGCATGTTTAAAACTATTAATAAATTTATCCAATGAACAGGTGCAATATTGATAACCACCAACAGTTAATTTAGAGGGGTGTTTCACTTTTTCTGATTTAGTGATAGGCCAAAAGGAACAGAGCATCATGCAGAAAATGACAATAATAATAATAATAATAATAATAATAATAATAATAATAATAATAATAATAATAATAATAATAATAATAATAATAATAATAATAATAATAATAATAATAATAATAATAATAATAATAATAATAATAATAATAATAATAATAATAATAATAATAATAGTCACCATAAGTCCAAACATTGACACCATAAATCAGATTGCATGTTCTGCATATAAAGAAAATCACTTCCTTGTCATTACTCTTCTTCAGTGATAGAGCTTGGCGATGTTTCAAAATGTTAAACACTGCCGCCAACTGTTCAGGAGGGTTATTACACCCCTAAAGGTTGTTTCACTGTGGAAGGGGTGTGTACAGCAGGGTGGCCAAAGATTTGTCTGTGGTGGCCATGGCCACCCTTGGCCACCCCCTGGCTCCGCCCCTGGTTTCATGGCTAAATTGGACCAGGCTGGTGGTCAATCTTCATTAACTACACATTGCACCAGTTAGAGCAAAGTGTGAAAGTCCAATTAGCAGGGTAAGAGCACAGTTTGGATCTAAATATTGCAATGTACACAACATTATGGGCGACACACCAGAGTTCAAAAGAGGACAAATTGTTGGTGCATCTGTGACCAAGACAGCAAGTCTTTGTGATGTATCAAGAGCCACAGTATCCAGGGTAATGTCAGCGTACCACCAAGAAGGACGAACATCCAACAGGATTAACTGAGGATGTAACAGGAAGCTGTCTGAAAGGACGTTATGGTCTAAAACCAGCTGTTTCATTGTCTAACCCCTGTAGGTGTCCATCCATCGATTACTTTTCTAAGAGATTCATTGAAATCTATCCAGTGGGTCAAGAAGGTTTTGCTAGCAATAACCTTCAGCAGCAGGTGATAATAAGCAACACATTCTTAATCCTTGGCTCACTTTGTTCACACTCCTTGTACGTCCAAACAGTCCTTAACACTCTTCATCAACCTTGAGAAACTGATGACTAAAGATATAATCAGGAGGCAGTTTTGCGTGTGGCTGATGGAGCCGATAAACCTCTAAGAATTCTCTGCGTCCGTCAAACAAGCAGCTACGTATTCGCTCACTTCATCGCCAACCTTTCTGCTGACAAAGGCTGTAAAATCACAGGAAAGACACTACAGATGATTAACTCCCAGATAATGTGGACGCGTGTGTGTGGGGGGCTGATTCTCCCAACGTCAGCTCATTTGTAATGCAAAAAGACATTTTCAGAATGTGATTATCATGCGTGGTCTTTCTCTTTTTTTTTTCTTGCCAAGGTCCACAGATGCTGTGGAAATTAAAACTGTGTGGCTGAAGCAGAAGATGGTAGAGGGTGGACGTTCTAGTGGCTGGAGGATGACATCATGCCACCTCAGCTGTCACCCTGTTAGTTAACATTTTTCAAAATGTTTTTACCATCAGAGAGTTTTATGCCTAATCTTTGCTCTATTTTTTTTTAAACACTGGTGACACCACTGTTGGTAGCCATGTTTTATTAAGGGTATTAATACACATTTTCATAATTGGACCAACAAACTTTTGTTCTGACTTTACAAAGACTCATCTTGATTAAAACTGAGCACAAACTATTATATTGCTCAATACAACCCAGACTGTTTCAAGAATTTAAGCTTTAAAAAGAACATTAAAGCAACTTCTCGTGACTCGTTTTCTTCCTCCCTTCATGTTTGACTCTTTAACGATGTCATCTTTGCCTTCAGCTTTAACAGACCTCAGCGGCGCTTGGATTATTGGAGGTTTTTGAGACGAGCAAACATTTGATCATCATCGGTAGCCAAAAAAAGTGCCAGGAGGAAGGCGACGACCCCCCCGGCAGTTGTTTTGCTCATCCTGTGGCTTCTCCTCTGACCTCTGATAGGACTCACAGAGTTGAATTAATTACCGACTACGGGTTTTTGTGCACCAAGATTTGTGTTTGCTCGCTTTCTGTACTAAATGGAGCTAAATGGAACATATTTAATGAAATTGACTTTATCCAGCTGGGTTTGATGAAGAATTCAGGTTAAGATTAAAAAAGAATGTTTGGGTTTTTTTTTTTTTTTTTTTAGGTCAGACGTTCAAATAAACTGGTGGGTTTATTTGTTAATACTTGGAGAGACTAGTATTTAAAGTATTCACACTTTTAAGTTGTTTTTTTTTCCGTATCTATTTTGGCACAAATCTCATTCTACAATATTTGTTCTGTTTCAACAGGTCATATATTAAAAAATTCAGCTCCTTCAGGACATTTCGGCTGTGACTTTTACACTTTTTTGACATGTTTAGCTTTTTTGGCTGTTTTTGTCCTCAATGAAAACTAGAGCTGTCTTTAAACTTAACGCCCTTCAAAAATAATCAACCCTTTCTTGCATTTTACACCTTTAAACTTCTTTGTGATAATTTTAGCTTCCTTCAGCATCTTATTTTGGCACTATTAGCTAATTTCAGCTATCATTCTGCTCTTACATTTATTCTGATCATTTCATTTTTTTGGTGCTTTTATCAGTTTCTTTCTGCTAATTTAATCTTTTTTGCTTCAGCTGTTTCTTTTTTTGCAATTTAAGCTACTTTTTTGGTTATTTTCCTCTAAATTCACATTTTTGTGATCATTTTAGCTACTTATTTCAGCTGCTTAAATAGCAAACATACCTTTTTTCCAGTTTTATTTTGTGCTAGATTGAGTTATTTTTAGCTACTTTTCAGCTTTTTCTTTGGTTAAAATTGCAAACGTTTTGTACATCTTTCTGTAAAAAAAAAAAAAACCATTCAGCATTAAGAATTCACACTGCGTTTTCACAGAAAATGCAAGTTCTCTGGTTTTGTTTGTCTTGAAATTTGAGAAAGGCTGCTCGAGAAGAGCTGACTTTCAGAGCAGAAGTAGACTTTAAAGGGATCCCCGATTAGTTGTAACATTAGACTTTATTTGATAAACATATACTTTAACTGTAAAATAAAGACTGTAAAAATACTGTAGGA